CGATAAAAAGGAGAGTAATAAGAACAGGGAGAAACTTGTGTTAGTTACAAAGACAGACCTTATGTTAATCCCAAGAGTGAAAAATGCCGAGCCATAGGCACGCACATGCAACACTTCATGCCCCTCGTACTCCGTAGCCTTCTGCACACAAGTTAATTAGGAAAAAGAAATTCACTACTATTATTCTTGGTCAATGCAGACAATAGTAAAGACCTCATGCTTAGTTAATCACCTAGAAGACCCATACCAGCCCTACATTGTGGAGCATTGATAAAAAAAATCAATCAAGCTCACAGATTAAGTCATTTATTTGATGAGAGCACAGATTCACATGCACACTACCCTATTGAGGTATGTCAATAAAAAATTATTGACCAAACAAAATTCACTACGCATCAAAAGTAAAGTAACACAAACAAACTACTTCCAAAGAGAACCGATATAAGAACAGGGAGAACAACAATTCGCATCTCTAAAAAAAGCTTCACTAAGAAATATTATATCAGAGTGTCCGCCTAGATCAAGAAAAGCCCCAACGTGTGTGCAATCAAAAACCCACTACCACTGACATCCAAACAGAATCCCCACACTCATTTAGTTGACATTCCAGAAATCAACAAATCCAAGAAGCACCGCACAACACTCAAATCAAGATATCGCCTCAAAGTCACAAACTTAAGAAGCAGGACTAAACACCAGCATCTACAATGAGCATGGGGAGATTCGGTTTCATATGCCCAAAAACAATTATGCAAAATCTTAATAAGCAAGCCCTGAAGAGAAAGAATTACTTGGCAGAACAGAATAGATAACCTATTAGTTGATTGCCTAGATGGATAAAAATTCAGCGGACAATGCATCAAGCAAACTCATTGGAAAAGGAATGTACTGAGGAAACTAACCTTCATAAAGTCAACATTGAGCTCGTCTGTGTGAGAAAGAAGATGAACATCACCTGCAGCTCGACAGATCTGACCATTTTTAGCCAACTCCTTCTGAATTTCAAGCAGCCGAGTATATCTATTACAACATATAGCTCTTAGCAGCAACTTTTCAACATTGATGCAACTCTGATCAAGAGAAAATTCTGCTTCTTTGCCGGTGAAAGGATCAATGACAAAAGTGCTATGAATACATTTAATCTGTAGATCAGGCCCAGGTTCAATCTTTACATAAGGGCATGAATCGGATGTACCCAAGCCCTTACTGAAATCTAACCAATACATTATTTTCAATCCTGGTGTGCGCAAGCTAGCTGAATCAACTTCCCCGTCTTGATTTATTTGCGAACTTGAAGATCCAGTATGACTCAAACCACCATCAGATATGAGCTCAAAGCGAATTGCATCTTTCCATCTTCCCTGTCGAAGCAACTGCACCTGCCTTATGACCGTGTCCATGACGAGGGCAACGCAAAGCTCATGTAGAACCGAATATATTGTAAAAAAAGGATTTTCTGCCACTGACATTCGTCTCTCTAAATCATCGCCAAGAACATGCTTTCGTGATTCTTCCAACTTTATTAGTCCACTTTTCTCACCGACAAGAAGCTCCAAGTGCAATATCCTCCACATTGATAGGTGTCCCCGGTAGCCAAGAGTGATTAAAACCTTAAACTCCCCATCCACACATAGCAACACTGTACCATCAGAAACTTTGACTTCAGATATTTCCTTGGGAATTGAAAGTTCAAGTAACTTAGTCCGAACAAGTGTGTCCAGCTTCTTTAAAACAGGTTTTTGCTCTTCTTCAGTTAAAGCTCCTTGAGCACCAACATCCTCTATACATTTTGGTAGCCGCTGGTAATTTCCTGTGAGAAGAACTTGAATTGCAGAGGGAACATCATATGCAGGAGCACGTGCTTGCTGGAGCCCTTCATGCATGAAAAACAACGAATCTGCCGCTTGAGTGAAACATGTATCATGACTTGATAGGGTTGATGAGAGCTGCTGACAGTACTGTATCAGTGGAACCTGCAAGTCAAAAGTTCAGAGGAAGAACAATTAAAAGAAGGATCACAATTACAAGACTTGTATCCAGCAAAAAGATGAATGAAACTTAAAGGAACCAATGAACATTCTTCTTACTATTGGCGCATGAAAAGCATAGCAAGAGTACCGGTGTTAAGGGGCAGGTTTCCCATTTAATATCCTCGAGCCTCAACTATTACCCATCCCTAAAAACTAACCAAGTATTAATTCATTGAAGACTCTCTCTAACGACATCGAAGACCACTCCCTTGAAGGGAAACATTAGCACAGAAAATTTCAATAACAAAGCTACACAGGAATTGACAAAAGCACAGCAAACGTTCCCTGTTGTCAATAACTGATTTCTTGTCACCTACAGCGACTCTAAGCTTCTCCAGATCCTAAACATCAGGGTGGTCGAGTCTGTCGATGCCCTAAACAACAAGTCGATTGCCATCGCAACAGTCCGCCTACTCTCTCCTTAGGAGATACTTAAGTATAAGAATAGAAGCCGAAGGCAATATCTATGGAAATCGAACTTAAAATTCCAACCTCCCTATTCCTTCAAGGGCATACTCACGAAAATCATTCCAGAGATCAATTCTACGTGAAGACCCAAGACTGAGAAACAGGAACTCTAAGCAGAGAGCAAACTCTGAGGCAACCCCATTCACCTGGTAAAGCACCCAGGGAGAAATTCTATCCCAACTTCCAAATCAACCTTGGTATATATAAAAAAAAAAAATCTGCTAATATTCAGAATAAAGGTCTAACTGCAAAACAAATCTTCACAGTCTTCTCAAGGATTCGTTCTTGACAAAAGAATTAACCCCACTTGCAAATTTTTCTGCCAAAGCAAATGGCAAGCCAAAACCTAGTCGCAGAAGCCTAAAATTCAACGGTGCAAAGACAAAACTTTTCAGAGAACACAACGAGAAAAAGCCGAATTTGCTCCTTCCTATCTGCGCAGATACTTAAAAACACCCACCAATTGCCACTCCACAGATTCCATAGCAAAATATAAATAAAAAATAAAAAAATTTCCCCAGAGATTCGCTATATCTTCAACAACGAGCAATCACCCACTATTCAAGCCACTCGGTTCAACAGAAAAAAATCGGCTCTCCAAAGCCCCCCCGAAGAAGCCCCCCCACCTGCTTACACCACTTGGCAAGGACGTTGAGCCGGAGCATCCGCTGCTGCGTCTTGACCAGGTACTTCAGCAGGCTGATCTTCTTCTCCGTGTCGGACTGCTCCCCGGACTTGGACTTCTCCACCAGCTCCTTGAGCGACACGAACGACTCCTCCGCCGCCCGGCCCACGAGGGCCGAGAAATCCACCGTCTGCTGCCGTAGCTCGGCCGCCATTCCGCCTCCGCCGCCGCCGCCGCCGCAGCCCTTGATCCCCCCGCTCGCTCCGAGAGATCTACGCAACGCTCATGGGGGGAAAACTAGGGTTCGGCGATCGGAAGGGGAAGGGACGAATCGGGAGGAAGCTCGCGCGCTGTGTCACCGCTAGGGTTTTTGGGAAAGGACGGAGGAGAGAGAGAGAGAGAGAGAGAGAGAGAGAGCGCGAGCCTTCTCCTTCTTCTTCTTCTTCCGCGCTTTGTCCCCCCGCGCAAAGATGCTTCGGATTAGCGAAAAATGGGGTTTTTGATTTGACGCCGTCGTTGTTGTTTATGTCGCGAAGGTGTATGAATTCCAGGATTCGTGCAATTTGGTCCCTTTGATTTTTCATTTTGGCCCTGTTGACTTCCTGGATTTGTCCCAATTGGGACCCTCCAATTTCATTTCACGAAAAATCAAGGGGCTCCGACCCTTTTCGAAAGAAAATTGTATTCATTGCTCGAAATGATAAAGAAAAAAAGAACGTGGACTCTATGTCAAAGGCAAATCGAGACAGAGCGGAATCTAGAATACTGCGGAACGAAGGTAAATCTAAAAAAACGAGGGGGATGAATAGAATATCGGTAGAGCTGAGCAGATAGTCGTTCCACAAGAAACGATATGACCCAGTAAAATAATTAGCGGCTGATCACTAGATCTCGTACATTCATCAATGGTGCAGCGTGCACTGGAAATTCCTTCTCCAGTAATTACGGCAGCGTTATCAATTGGCGGTGCGCGCCTAAGCTCATCTTCCTCTGCACCATCTCCACCGTTGGCACTATCGTTGTAGGGGAACAACCAAAACAGATTGAACGAGCATGGATCTATTATTTGGAAGAGCAAATCTTCGTAGTTCGGTGAGCGGCTAGATTTTCTTGCGATCACCATTGAAGCTGTAGGTAGACGGGAGTTGTTTAGGGACGGAGCATCGGGACATTGATTCCTCGAGAGCATGTATTTATGAAATTCTAGATCTAAATCGGGAGAGACACGACATATCTTATCCAACATCAATATAATATATAAGGCGTAACTTTTTAAAGTTTTAACATATTAAGCCTCGACGAGAATCTAGAAATTTCATACAAATTAAGGCAATCCCAACATGTGTAAATTGACCATACTCAACTAATGCTAGAATCGTGTTGTAGCTAACACTGATTAATTTTTTTAATGAAAAGTCCGCATTCAAATGATTTTCAAGAATACATGAATCGCATCGAAAAAATTAATTAAAAATTGAAAATGAGCAATTTCGTGCCGCACTGTTTTTTTCCCGCTCTAAGGAATACCAACACAAAAGTCGTTTATCTGTATTTTCCGTGCTAATTTTAAAATTTGAGGGAACATAATTTAGGGCGAGCTCGAATTCACTTTTACTTTTCATTTAAAATCTAAAGCGCGCTTTGATTTTTTCTTTTAATTTCGAAATGCATAAGAATTTCAATAATTACAAAAATTGACACGTAAATTTACATATAATTTTTTTCATAATTTTAAGATTAGTAAAAAAATAAAAATAAAAATAAAAATAAAAACACAAACCGGCCCTGAAATTTTGCAATTTAAATACAACGCACGAGCTTCCGCTGCCCAGCTGTCTCTTGCCAATTGCCAAACAGGCAAACGCGTTCCGGCTGAGTCGACTCGTCCAGGAATCGTTCCAGCACCGAGTCAACTCAGCAAGAGTAGGTCTTCTCTCTCTCTAGATCTCGAGTCCCCCGAAACGAAACGGAACGAATCCACCACATCAACCATGCGGGCAAAATCGCCGCCGTCGTACTCCGGCACCGCCGCCGCCGCCGCCGCCGCGAAGCCGACCTCCCAGACCCCCTTCACCACCCTCTCCTACACCGCGTCCGCCTCCGCCGCCGCCGCCTCTTCCTTCCTCGCCACCCGCCGCCCCTGGCGCGAGTTCCTCGACGTCACCTCCCTCTCCCTCCCCGCCGGCTACGCCGACGCCACCGCCCGCATCCGCCGCAACTGCGACCACTTCCGCGTCAACTACGCCATGGTCGCCCTCGGCCTGCTCTTCCTGAGCCTCCTGTGGCACCCGGTCTCGCTGATCGTCTTCATCGCGGTCTTCGTCGCCTGGTACTTCCTCTACTTCTCCCGCGACAGCCCCCTGGTGGTCCTCGGTCGGACCGTCGACGATAGGGTCGTGATGGCGGCGCTCGGCCTGGTGACCGTGGTGGCTCTGGTGCTCACCGACGTGGGGCTGAACGTGCTGGTCTCGCTGCTGATCGCGGTTTTCCTCCTAGGGTTGCATTCCGCGTTCCGGAACCCGGACAGCTTGTATGTAGACGAAGAGACCACGGCCGGGGGCGGGCTGGTGTCGGTTGTCGCCGGCCAGCCAATGAGGGCCACGGCCTATACACGGATTTGAGTTGAATTCATTTGATTGTGTTGAGAGATTGTGTGGTGCTTGTTGTTCGCTTGGTGTCTGATGCAGTGTCCTTGGTTCGGCTCGAGATGCAGTTCTGGAATTTTTTTGTGGAATTTGGATCAATGTGAGAGTCTTGACAGGAATTCATGGGACTTGTGCATTGAGATTTGGCTTTGCATTGCTCGGGTTTCGATATGGCTGCTGAAAGTAGTTGCATCTTTCGATGCCGGATCTTCTGGTTCCGGACGGCGAAGAAAAGCAAGAATGGTCCCGCTGTTCGCGAGAGTGTGTTTATCGGCGAGTTCGAACCCGTTACACTGCTCATGTTCATTCGCGACACGAACCGTGTCATGCTTGTTGTCCATTTTGTAGCCCGAAAAGACAGCAAGGGATGGTCATTTTGTGGTGTCGTCTCTCATTGAACTGGTGAAGGCTTTTTGTCTTGAATTACTCAGGAAACAGTAGATGCCGATTCGACAGAGTCCAGTCTTTTTTAGTCCTTCCTACTTTCATTTGGTGTGTAAGTATTCAAAGATCTGTGATTTGATTTTTAGCATTCTGATTTCCGCACGAAGAGGGTATCATGTCGCTTTGATTGTTTCTTGTCATAATTGATGCTTAGCTTCAGATCATTCACTCCTATACTAGCCCACGGATGTTGGATTTTCGTTGTCGTGGGGTTGGTTATTGGTATGGTAATGTTGCAGCTTCATGGTCCCTGTTCAGACATTAAGTTCAGCATGATCCGAAACTGTATGGTCCGTATTTAGGAATCCAATTTAGGCGAAGAACACTTGCTTCTTGAGAATGATTGCTTGAAAGAGTGCATGTCAAATGCAAGCTAATATGCAAAATTTCCTAGGACTGCATCTTGTTTCCCGGCTTCATTTTACCGAGTTGGCGGCCAAGTAAATGGCTTAGTTTTACCTTCTGCATTTTGTTTGCTTGATGATATCTCTGAATGTTTTAAAAGCAGGAGTCTGTCTCGAATAGACAGTCTACCAATACGCAATACATGGTGCTTAGCTTTTCCTAAAGTGATATGCAAAAATGCAGATTTTCTGTAGCCTGTTTATTGATTACCTCGGTATGATACAATGCCCGAGGCTCTTCGAGCACCCGAGCACCGTGAGTCGAGCTTCAGTGGCAACGATATCATTCTTTCGACAAATGCTGTCTCTCCTCTCTCTTTACATCCCTTTGTCTTTCGCTCGACTTTCCCTGGTTAATCAACACTGTTAGATATCAAGGATCTTCGAGCTTGCTCAATATCGACAGGATTACGGTTACATGAATTTTTTCTTGATGTCCCTGAGCGACTAGCGAGTGTCCAACTAGGTGCAACAATGCAAGTACTGATGGGGATGAATTGTGAGCAACCAGAGTTACGATCTAGTCCCAAATAACGAACGAAATTTGGTATCTTTGTAGTAAGGAGGTGATAATCACGGTAACAAAAGACCGAGCTTTTCTTACTGGTGCGTAGGATTTCCGGACAATTCTCACTACAATGGTTTTGGTCGATTCTCAAGTTGAAAGCTGCTCATCCTGTCAAGCACCCAACAAAAGGAGAGCCAGATTTGAGAAAATGGTACAATCATACTATACAGGAAACGTCTTCGAAAAGTAACAAATCAAATTCTATCTCAACTTGTAACGACATGCCACAAAACAGCATATAGTGTCGTATTGACCGAGACATTGAGCATCATGTTCATGATTATGACTTTTAAGGAGTTAATTCATCAATCTATATAACCAAGAAAGGGGGAGAATGTGGGGTCATCTTATGGAGCTTGGATTTTCCGGCAATATGACAGAACCATCACGAATTCTTTGGCCGAGGTCCCGACAGACGCAGTCACCCTCTTCGACGATGCCGCGGTCCGGAACCAGAGATCGACCAGATTATTCAAGAGCAATGTTGGGAGCACGGGCTGACCCCGGCACAGTATCTCCACCTGTTTAACAAGTGATGAAATGCCATAAGAAAAGTTGGATCTCCTTACGGATGCATAAAGAATGATTAGCCCATAATTATTCTACAATAAGGCAAATCTCGGATGCATAATTCATTTTAAATATCGCTTTTGACAAGACTGATTGTTTTATAAGAGCTATCTGGATTAGGGTAATGCGAATGGTCTAAACTTGCCAATAACTTCACCATGAGGCATCCACACCTACAACTGTGAAACAAGCCCACACAAAAGATGTGACAACCAGCTAAAATACATGTCTAGCAGTGAAGGGATGAGGCTGATTTTTGGACCAGAAATTGTATTTTTTTTAACCTACCTTCGTTTAGATTATTTGCAGATTCTAGTCAGAATGACCGTGAGATGTTGTATATTACAAATCATTCTGTTACCAAAGAACTCATCATGGCACTTCATATCAGTATACAATGAAATCATCATGTTTATGACCGGTTAGATTCCTAGGGGAGCCATAAAATCTCTGTCCCTAAGAACATTCTTGAGAATTGATTAGCTTTACAAACTGCAATCAACAAATTGCTGAATACAGTGAATGCTAAAGAATTAGGGAGGCAAGAAAAGCAAACTCACTTCCTATGCAGGATTTAGAGAAAGAGAGCCATCTTATCATTGACTCATTAACTTGACTAAAATCTCCAGATTAGGCCAATGTGCGCCATCTTTTATAATATGATCAGAAATTTTACAGCTAATCCAGTTTCACCCTACTTGTGACAAATTAGCATTTAGAAAAAGAAAAACAGACATGCTCATCAAAAAGCTTAAGTTCTCTAATGATAAAGTATAGACAAGCTGACTTAAAAGAGGGTATCAAGCAACTCAAAGATAAGCATTCTCAAAAAAGAAGGCTAACCAACTTGAAATTCCATACTACATTAGTAAGTTATAAGCAAGTTTTTAGACAAATCGAATCGATATTGCAACTAGAAGCAAAGTATGTGGGTTTTCAGAGCTGAAGATCTAACAACAAACGTGTTAGTCTTTTCTTTTCATTGATAAGGAACAAACTGTGTATCACCAGTGAAACAGTAATCCTCGATTCAAGTCCAAATGCAATGGTCTCTAATCGCATACTAGTAGGTTACCGAAATATTAACGCTTCACTGCACTATATACTACCGTGCGAAATATGATGTTTATAACCTTCCTTTCATGACATCTCCGGTTTTTTAAAACTGTTGTCAGTATAAGTGCAGTTACGACAACAAATGAGATGTACCAGCTCATAGAAAAGCATGGAAAGAACGAAACTAGATTTCATCTAACAAATTGGGTAGAGCAATATCAAAACATGAATGCCTAGAGTAGGTGCTGAGGAAAGTAAAGACTCACCTCAGCTTCACTCGTAAGTTGAAGTTTCTTGACCAGGTACTTTTGGATGATCGAGACAGGGACGTTGCCATCCCTGGGGAATAAAAAAAATGTCAATGCTGAAGGAGACACTAAATCATTTTCTATCTTGGTTGGTTCATTTATTAGAACTAAAGTTATATATCACCATACCAGCCAAAAAAATTGTTAAAACGAATGTAATGAAATTAGATAGTACTGTTGCTACAGGTGCAACCCATAATTTTCATGTCATCACAACATAGCAGAGACAGTACATCATGATAAATGAAAAACTAGAAAGAAGATTATTCATGCATCTATTGAGTCGTTTCCAGGCAAACCAGAGAAGAAAATAAATGGTATCGATGATAAACTAAAAGACTCATAGCATAAAAACTAACTAGAACACAATCACCATTCACATGCAACTTAAAAGGGGGAATTGTTCATAAAGCTGATAAATAAACTTCCAGATGAATGCAAGACAATTTCAGCGATATCCTTTTTCTTGGTCATAAAATTCAGCTATATGCAAACATAAAGAAAGTGACATACTGGTACAGTGTTGTGTACTAAACGCTACTGTATAGTGTACCCAATAAATCTGTGACAGAATATGCTACAGGAGCATCAGCCACATTAATGGTTCATCATCATCTCAAATGACTTAGCTTAAATAAAATCAACCCAGGACAATGTAGAGAAGAAGGTTGCACCCACGGATATGACAGATATAAGTGATGCTAAAAGCTCAAAATCTTGCACTCCTTCAAAGCCAAAAGCAAGAAAATGGTAATTCATGACCTTCACTACCATATCAATGCACAGATAACTCCTTAAAAGGATAGTTGAACACCGATAAACAGATTAAGGACACGTGTCAAGGAGTCACTTCTCGAAGTATAGAAAAAAAACCACTTTGCCAAACAAACAGAGTACTTTATTTGGCTTACTACCTTTGATTGTTTACGGTATAAATTACATGAATGCTATTTGATACGCAAAATAGCCACCTCTACTTGGGAAAGGCATACTTCATAACAAAAGCCAAGTAGTTACACAAAGTAGCAGCACTAGTCCAATAGTCTAACTTTTCTCTTTTAGAAAGGGAATACAAAGTAGGCAAAGATGTATGAGGCTCACTATAGGAAGGACAACAAACACTGACCACAAAATAAGTATCAAATGCACACTTCACTTTCAATACAGACTAGGAAAGCAGTCAACATCCACAAGAACTTACTTAATCCTCAGGTAACAAGAAGATATCTGCGGCAAAGAAGCCTCTCCTTTCCTGTAGCCACTTTATCCTATTAGAGGCTTATTAAGAATGCAAGCTCTCATGAGAAACAAGAGACATTAAGCAACTTACAGATCTTCAGAGGCAATTAATGAAAACCATATTGGATAATTTCTTCGGTCGTGTTTGTCACTAGAAGCATCTAGCAAGAGTTGTGCTGAGGTGCTCAACTCTTCAGATGCAGCCGCTTTCTTTTGGCCTGTTGCACGCATCCTTTTACGCTTAATTGGTCCTGATAAAGGAATTCCCTTTTTGTCATCTTGGAATTTTGTTTTGAGTGCATGGTCCTTAGTTTTACTTTTAGTCAGATAGAGTCCACTTTTAGGAATGTCTGGCAGTTCTTCCTTGGCTTTCTTCTCCGGCACATGAGGCTCCCTATCAAGGGCACTAAGCGACTCCAACTTCGGAAGAGAAAGCCCATGTGAACTTGACTTTGAAGATTTAGTTCTGTTAGCAGCCTCAACAAGACAATTGAGTGGTGTCCATAAATCAAATTTGCCTTCCATTTGTTGGAAACCATCCTTTGTGTCTTCAGCAGGTTTTTTCCGGTCATAAGGCTTGTCAGGAGATGACTCCTGTTGCAATTGAATTAGGATAAAGCATTTTCAATTATAAAAAAAAGCATGTAATTTCTTCCCCTAATAAGTTCCCTTTTGACAAAGTATCTATGTGATTAATTGCTACAGAGAATCAGCTTTTGCCTGTCTTTACCTGTCCTTTATTTGTTTTATTTGAAGAATCTGGTGAGCTCGATCCCACGGCACAATCTCCTGTAGAATCTTCTTCTTTCTTATTTGGTTCCTCATAGGCAAAACTGGATGCTCGCGAACTAGCAGCTCTTCTTGTGACTGATTTTGTTCGTCTGCCAGTTAAACCACTCTGTATCGACACCTTGGGTGCGCTGACCACCAAGGAAGACAGCGATCTCTCCTTCCTTTTGAT